ATTCTGTTTATCTGTCAACGGATTAGCCTTCTTGATTAACGAGATATTTAAGAACACACATCTTATTCGCATTATCCAGACTAGTATTCTCAATACCAAGAGGTTTGGTGGGGACCCCCAAGTCAGTTTTAAAATTTTGCTATCTCTTTACATGGCTGTTGCACGGTAGCTAGGCAAATAATTGAATCCATGAATACCTAAACTAAATCGTAACGTATGATTACTACCAAACACTACTGATTGTTCATCTCATTTTCGGGGGACACTTTCATTCAGCACGGTTTGTATCTGTTCATCAATCAAAACTTTCTTAGAGTTCCTCTCCAATGTTTCTCTTCACCGGGACAACATACAGAAAAAATGGATATATTCTCATGAATGCATAGTGTCTGCCATGCTCCACAATTTACAGTGATAGTAATAGTTGGTAATAACATATACAAAAAGGAAAAAAAACACTTAATATTACACCAGTCAAATTGGCCATTTCAATTGATAAAATTAAATTGTTTCCTATCAAGGTATTTCTCACATCCTCAAAAATGCAAAAATCCCCTCAATGTTCATGAAAATGAATCAACTGTGGCCTCATCTTGTTATTTTTCACGTGTTAAAAATATATTTCGTGAAAGATGAAAGAACTTTCTAAGTTGCAACAAAGTTATCAGATTCAGGACATAGCTTTATTAAAAAGATATCAAGAGAATCTGTTATCTTCACATTCTTTAATGAACTTAAATAAAAGCTCTAGACAAGAATATCTAATATTACTTCATAGACCTTTCAAAAGCTTTCAATGTTACCTCCTATACACACACACGCGCACGCGCACGCACGCACGCACACACACGCTCACACGCACACGCACACATGCGTACACACATACGTGCGTGGGCATGTGTGTGTGAGTGTGAGTGTGTGAGTGTGTGAGTGTGAGTGTGAGTGTGAGTGTGAGTGTGAGTGTGAGTGTGAGTGTGTGAGTGTGAGTGTGATTGTGAGTGTGAGTGTGAGTGTGTGTGTGTGAGTGTGTGAGTGTGTGTGTGTGTGTGTGTGTGTGTGTTCCTCCATTCAATGTTGTTTCTGAACGTTGAACCCTTTGATGAGCCACCTAAAAAAATATTTTTATGATCAGAAAAATGAGAAAAGTATCCATTTTTTTAAAACACTTACAATAATCTCTATACTTTTTTGAACATTTTGAAATATTATTTATTGAAACATTTTTGCTTTTTGTTCATTTAATTGCGCTTTAATTGTGCATTCATACAGACAGGCTGACATTTCAGACGTTCCATGGCTCCACATACACAGACATAGTTTTAAAAATATTTACTCGAAGGCGGTAGTTTTCATAGTTTCATCTTTGGTTATCTTGATTATCTGTGCAATTTGGCTGGCCTTTTTGTTCTTCTATGTTTCACTTAAGTTAAGAGTTATTCTCTCTCTCTCTCCCTCTCTCTCTCCCTCTCTCTCTCCCTCTCTCTCTCTCCCTCTCTCCCTCTCTCTCTCTCTCTCCCTCTCGGAGTAAGAGGTGAGAGAGCCACAGAGAGCCCAGAGAATGAAATGTGAAGGAAATATTCCTGTGCATAAAGAAGCATTGAAAATATGAGTTATCGGGTGTATAAAGGCAGATACACAAGTTTTCAATAAACAATCTGAAAATTCATCAAAACCAGATGATATATTAATTTTTTAGTTTACTGACTATTCGTAAGATTTCGTTAGAAGAAGTTTCGGAAATAAACATCGTGTCGAAAATGTTTTGGGAACGGAATGATGTTGAATTTTGTGGTTTTAGTCCTTTCGTGAGTTCAGCCGCAATTTTAGAAAAGTGGTGGTTGAAGAGATATTCCACTTTTTCCAGAATACTGGCTTCTCTTTCCTTTATGTTTAAAACAACATTCTCTACTAATTATAAACTCTACAATTGATTTGACGTGACATACGTGTTATAAATCGCAAAAGAACGTTGCAAAAAGAGAGTTTCCAATTGAGTTTAAGATTTTCCAATTGAAAAAACAGGTATACAGACGTCCACTTTATTGGTATACGTAATGATTGCATTTGTCAGTAGAAATGGTTCAGATAATTTTCAATACATTTTCTCGAATACCTAATAGTTTTCTACAACAACACACACATGAAATTAAAATACCCGTGTGGGATTCGAACCGACGACCTCTTAATTTCAAATAATGAACCCGAACCCGAATGCCACTCCTCGGCCATCCACCAGCAAAATACCCATTTACTTCCATATTACTCAAGACACAACAAAGTTATAGCATTACGTAGCTGAGAAAATGTAAAATGATAAACGGATTAAAAGTTGCAATTCAAAATTCATGTATACACTTCAAATTTATTTTAATTTATTATATTTCTAAGTAGAAGTGCTTCAAAAAATTTTCAAATAAGTTTCTGCAATTTTAATAGTTTTATTTGGCAACACAGAATTGTGACAAATAATTCTCCCAGAGCACGGCTCGAACAAGCCGACATTTTCTCCGAAACAATGAGACAATACACACAACTTAACCAACCTCGGCCATCGGGGTCGTACAGGAACTAGGCAGTCTTATAAGTCATAAGAGCTTCGTGTTTCAGTTGCAGTATTAGGCAGCGGAAAAATTAACAAAATGTAAAATAAATGCCCTTTGTGTAAAAAAAGATTGCAGCTCTGCAGGCATAATTTGACGCAGTAAATAGTTTTTGCTCGTTAAAAACAACAGAGAATTGTGACAAATGGTTATGCCTGAGCCTCGAAACAACGGCCCTTCTCTACGAAATGATGATACCGAGCTCGATATTTAACCCATTCGGCCACTCGGGTTATACAGAGAATTATCACTTGTATAATAATCATAACCGCCGAACGACAATTAATTTGATGATTCATAAGTTTTACAAATCAATTAAGTGATGTGTAATATTGTTTAGAAATTAAAAATTTGAAAATCACTTATAACACTTCCAGTTTATTTATCTTGTTAGTACTATTTGTGATTAGAATTGCTTCAAATGGCTTTCAATAATGCTTGTGGAATTCTCAATTATTTCCTGACATTATTATTTTTTTGCAATTTTCGAAAAATCGCAAATATTACCAGAAATAAGACCTGCACCATTCTCTTAAACGTGTTCTGCACTACGGTTTTTTTTGAAAATTTTGCAAATGTGTGAGGAACGTCTAGTAAAGTAACCCCCAAAATTAAAATATCGGTTTTAAAATCCAGGGGCTGCGACATCAGCCATATCGATTGAGGAATATCAATTTTGGAGCAAATCGGCTGAACGCTTTAGCCCGTAGCGTTGACCACGGTTGGACGGACGAACGTTTGAACGTTAATCGAATTTTCGGTATCATATCGATACTTTTTCGTTACCAGAGCCCGACTATGATACCTTTCTGGCGAAATTCTTCGTTTTCCGCCCCACGATTACATAACTTTCTCTTCTTACGAAGAATACGTAAGGCAAGAAAGTAAAACTGAAGCTTTGAGAGAGAAAGGTTTTCTATCAAGCAATAGTTTTCATTTATGATCAATACTACAACAATAAAATAGGTAATATACAGTACAAATTTCAAATCGATATCTCCAATAGTTTCTGAGTTCATGAATCATCAATATTTAGCATTTAACATGGGTAACATAGGAGGGGGAATCCCACCTTAATGAATGCAGATATTTTGAAAGCATTGTTGGTAACTGACCTTAAGAAACGCAACCCGTTCGATACACTTTACAAAAGCACATCCCGTTCGATGCACTTTACTCTTTTTTCCTCGTCAGCTGCGAATGTAAATAGTCAATAACATTTGGCACTGCTGTTGCCGAAATGCATGCTGAACATCCTACCACAGACATAATTTCTACAAAACCGACGAATCCCGCCATAGAACACACGCACAACACACGTTCTTAGAGGAATGAGCCGGAGAGTATAAACCAAAATGGCGAGTCACTATGTATACTGTTTATAAAAGAGCCCTAAGCAAGAGCGTGGTCTTATAGCTATTTGAAGTAATGACCACTACAATCACTAGAAGGCACTGGTGTTGTCACGTAGTTACACAGTTGTTTGAAGTAATGATCATTAGATGACGCTAGCGATTTCCTCTAATGTACGAGCATGAGCTGTGAACTTAACCTCACTAATTTGTAGTTTCGTGCATCTCAGTATCAATTATAACTATTTGCCAGAGTGATCTTTAAGCGTTCCTTCAATTGTAGCAGTATGTGTCCATTGTTTCTATAATTGGATGCACTTGTTGAAACATTACTTTTTTGGTTATCACCAGATAACAACCAATTTTATCACAATGAGAACGCACGTTTAGTGTTTTTGATCACTCAGGATAGCTCACTATGCGATCACTTACCGTAAATCAAATTTAGAAAATTTGGTCGACCTTATATGCCATTCAGCAGATAATTATATAAAGGTATAGACAACGAGACGCAGCGTGATGGCGTAACGATGTATAGTGTAAATAACGCTAGTCCGCGCAATTCTAGAATGTGTTATTCGAATTATAAGAAGTGTGTTTATGATTTATTACATTTAAACTGTGATCATGGTAAATTTAAAATTATGAAAAATATTTGTGATAAAAATATTGTTTGATAGATGGGTAATCGATAATATAATTTCAAGGTATGTTACGATAATCGATTCCATACTTCCTAACAATGACCACGGAATAAGGAAGGATAATATAGAAGTATCTCTCTTCTTCACTTGTTTGGAAGTTTATGTTTATTCAAGTAGTTGCCCTTCAATTGTGTGTGTAGTTAGCGATAGTAGATTTGACACGTACGTATATATTTTATTTCTCTTCTAATCATAGATTAGTTCTAGTACAATACTTCTAAAATAAAATAAAAAACAAGAAATTGTTTACTTTGTATTTACAGAATTACTGAAGCTTGTGGTGTGTACTAGCGACGCTAAGCTAAAACTCATTTAAGTGAGAATTTCAGAAGATATTTGTTGCAATGGACAATCTTGCTAAGAAACGCCTAATTATAGATTTTGAGAGAATTAAACAAGATTTTAATTCAGGAGTGTGTGCTGCACCCAAAACTAGTAATTTTTTGTTGTGGAAAGGCGTGATTTTTGGACCGCCAGACACACCATATGAAGATGGTACCTTCAAAATACGACTGAGGTTCACGAAAGAGTACCCTATGAAACCACCAAAAGTTCGATTTGTTTCCAAGATGTTCCATCCCAATATAAAAGACAATGGAGACATCTTTGTTGATATTTTAGACAACAAATGGAGTCCAATGTACGATGTGGCATCTTTACTTCTGGCAATCCAATCAATGTTGAATGAACCTAACCTAAGTTTCACGGTAAACGGTGAGGCAGCTAAACTCTTCGTTCATAATAGAAAAGAATATGAAAGAAGAGTTTCTGAAACAGTTCAGTGGTCTTGGTATCATGAGAAGGATATTGGTGATGTTGAAAATGAGATTGAGGACCAGTATGAGAGTGACGAGGGAGAATTACAAGGAATAATATCATACAGTTTAAAATATAATTCCGTGCGGTATATTAGGAGAAATGATTGAATCAATGAATCACAGTATGTGATACACACATTAATCTTTGATCTGTAATGTAATTTTACATTATTCTCATGTTATAATATATTGTTAAGTTTACCTGTTATTTGTGTATGCACATAATTTGCAATATGTTCCTCTAGTGTCAATGATGTTTTTTAACTGACACTTATTTTAACTGATAGTGTTATTTGTTAAGAATTTTTAAATTGTTGTGAGGGAAAAATTCACTCTCTTTTAACTCTAATATAATTTTACATTGTTCTGATGATCTGAGATATTGTTAGGTTCGTCAGTTATTTGTGTATATGTACATAATTTGAAATTAGTTTCTCAATTGCCAATAATGTTTGTTTTAATTCGCATTTATTTATATTGCTTAGATCATACGTGTTATTTATAAAGAAATTGTTAATTGTAGTAAAAAGTTTACAAATTGGAGTAAAAATTAACTCTCTGTATAATAATAAGTTCAAGTTTCACTGAAATGATACTGTATATTAAACAAAAATAAATTTTATTTAACATAAACGGTTAATATACACAAATTTAGTTTCCTTTAGTGAATATGTTGTGTGTTTAAAGATTATTTTTTAAGAGTGAGGTTAGGAAGAAATATTACTGTAATGATATAATCGGTATTTCCTCCTGTAATTGAATGAAATAATGTTACTTATCCAAGTGATATTATAATCAATCAGATATTAATAATAATCGTGTTTTTGGATATATTATGATTTGAAATAGGATGGAATGCTTGACATTTTTTATTATGTAAGAATTACTTATACTGGCATATTCGTTTGTAAATAATCTAAAATTACATAAGTAAAGGATTAAAATCCTTTTTTGCAAATTAAAGGGGAACACCTTTATCATATTATAACTATAATGTTTTTCCAAGCGCACTTAATCAACAGAAAAAATACAGATGAGAGATAAATGAGAAAAAAATTTTCTACCTGCATACCCGCCGTTTCTTGGAGATTTTCTGATATATAATTTTGATACACTCATGAGAAAGTCATATTCTAAGAAGTTGACTCATAAATGCGTTAAAAATGCATTATTAACAAGTTATGGTAACTGTTACAATGGCCCCTGAACAGAATACTAACTAACCTTCAATAATAACTTCACCATTCAACTCAATTACAACTAGTAAAATAGTTATGAATAATATGAAAACTTAAAAAAAAGTATAATAAATTTAAGAGTTGATAATCACTAGTGGCGCTAAAAAAGGGCATACTTTATCATATTATTTCTAAATTTGCAATATTAGAAAATTAAGAGAGTTCAACGGAAATGAGACCTACGCCATAAAATCACCTCTTCTATTCCTAGAAAATATTTGAAGAGACAAAATTGGAGTGGTCTTTGAGAAATTATTTTTAATTTTTAAATTTAGTAATTGTAAATTTTGCATTGATTTTAAGTCCAAATTGCGCAAAAATTATTAGATTTTTACAAAAAATTATTCATGACCTTTTTTAAAGAGCTGCTGTTGGAAACATACTTTGAGTAAGGAAACAACCTTTATCTTTAATTTCATAGTTTTGAAATGTTAACTATTTGCAATTTTCAAAAATACAAAGAGTTTACCGAAAATAGGACTAGCATCGAATTTTTCACCGTCGCTTGATACATATGGAGACAATTTCAAGCAAAAAACTGTTGCCTTTTAGTGTAAAAGGTGTTTGATAAAGGTAAGAATTGCCTATATTTCACGCAAAATTACTTGAAAACTCACATTCATGAAGGAAAAAATTCCATCTTTAATATTATAAATGTAGAAAGTTGCCCAAAATAAATAGCATACGCTATCCCAGAACAAAGTTAAATTGAACAGAGTGTGGAGCCATTTTCGAAACAATTATGAAAATGTTCTTAAGACCATGAAAACTATCTTTAAAAATCAAAATATCTGTGTGCAAAACCAAAAGCTTAGATTTCGTTCAGATCGATTGGGTAATATCTATTTTGGAAATAATTCGCTGAACGGTTTAAGAGACACAGACTCTAAACTCCCTAGTGGTCTCCCGATGGTAGCGTAGTGCATGTGTGTAAGTAAGGGGTGATGATAGTTGTGTAGGTTGATAGGCTTTTGAAGTTCTTCCAACCAGATCTATTATCAGCGGAGCACCGCCCCAGCCGGGACAAGCTCTAAGCTCCGGACCGCAGCATGTGTGGTAGTGTAATGCATATTAGTTGTTTGGTTAAGTAGGACAAGGAAGAGGAAAGAAAGATCGCGCGCGGTCCGTTGCCCATTTGTTTGGGCACGTACCTACCGACCAGAGTGCCTAGCATTCTCCACCAGACTCTGGTTGAATTCGACCTAGTTCTGCAGCTAATGTCGAAAAGCCTGCACCCTGTTCGTGGGCACTGGCAGAGGTGATGCCGTACTTCTGGTGACACTACAGTGGATCATAATGTTCCGGGTTTCGAGACCGATCGCAGGTAGGCTTTTCGACATTACCTACAGAACTAGGTAGAATTCAGCCGCTGTCTGGTGGAGACTTCTAGGTACTCTGGTCGGTAGGTATGTTCGCGGTAGCAAATCCATGAAATAATATTGTAAAACAACTTGCTTATCTGAGTATATACTGTGAGTGACAACAGCTGAATCTGTGTACTGGCCAGTGGCTATGAGCACAACTTTAAAAATATTTTTTGTATTACACGGAGGTGTTTTTAATTAAAAAATAATGGTTTTAATAATAAATTCCGCTGCTTTTTCTCACTCCTTTCTTTATTGTGGAAGCCCCATTTAAGCAAGGAGCGTGAAAACGTGCTTACGCTCAGAAACCGGGTCTGGCAAAGTGTTCAGGATTCTTGCTCTAAATCACTAAATAACAAAGAAAAAGTACCACTAGCGCGTTATTCTGTTTTCAGAGATCTCTAAAACTCCGGGAGCAACCTCAAAATAGAAAGGTGAGGCGGCAAAGTAGAGCGAAAAAAAAAAAAAAAAAAGAACTCGCATTAAGGTGTGTACTCAAGTGGCGCTTCCGCGGACACGAAAGTTCTTGGAAATCGTCAGAGGTAGAAGAAGCGGGGCGGGGCCAAAACCCCGAGGAATTAACGCTGGTCGCGGGGGCGGGCGCCGTGAAAATCTAATGGGCGGCGCGGAGGTTCCGACAGCCCCAGACGCCGGGGGCGGGGGAGGCAAGAGAGAGTCGCAACGCCTCCGCCACTGCCAGTCACCGCCTCTGCCGCCGTCGCCGGCGCTGCCACTGCCAAAACCGGCAGTACCAACTCCACTAACGATTGCGCCCACAACACCATCACCGCTGCCGCCCCTGACTCAACCAACAACGCCACTGCCCTTTGCACACTGCTGCCCCACAACCCCACCGACAATAAAGCCTCTACCGACTCCGCCACCATTGGCATATCGCTGCCGCCATTGTTACTGTCAACGTTACCGCCCCCCTCCGCCGACACCGTCACCTCTGACAATGCTGCCGCTGACAACATCGCTACGACAAAGGCCGCTTCTGATTGCGCCCCAACACTGTCGCCAGTGTACCCCTGACTCTACGAACGTCACTGCCCCCTCTGCAGCCACCGTTGCTACTGTCAACGCTGCTTCCGACTCCACCAACATCACCGACGCTGCCGCCCCTGTTTAAACTATCAACGTCACCACCCCCTCTGCTTTCACTGTCACCACGGACAACGCTGCTGCTGACAATGCCACTGCCCCCAACACAACTTCTGCATGCGCTACTGATACCGTCGCCGCTGCCGCCCCAGTTTCCACTGCCAACCACATCGCCCCTCTCCCGCCTCCGCTATCA